TTTGCTCCGATTGAACAGATATAACAAATCGCTTTCAATGCTATATCTAGCAGAAAGTTGCATATCTATGTCATCTATTGTGTGGACTGTCCTGGAGGTGTCATTGTGGGGGGGGGGGTTGTAGGCCATTAAGGTACAGGTGGCACCGTGCCCTGTACAAGGTGGCGTCACATGCAGCGTGACGCTCACACTAGATCCCCAGTGCAGCGCTGGCATTGCGTGCCAGGGTTCTATGCGACGTCCGGATGGTCGTACCAGCTGTTGTGGTCACGGTAGGCACTGACCGCGGTCGCTGCTCTGTGTGTGCCCTCGCTCAGCGGGGCAATGTGTCGTTTGCTACACCACAGATGTACGCTGACACGCCAGATCCAACACCAGCACCCCGAGATGTGATTTTCAGAGTGACGCAGCCCCCCACCCCCCCCATCCCTGTCACAGTCCACGGTACAAGGAGCGTCTGTGCCCTGCCTGGGGCATTGGGCTGCTTCTGTCACCGCCACATACCTAATACACTGCGACACGTCCATGATACAGAGTGTGGGCCACCCTGGAGCCAGAAGCACCCAGCCGTCCGCTTAACCCCTCCACTGCCAGCTGGCAGAAGTCTATAGACACCTCTACATTGATAAGAGGCTCCGGGGCCCCTCCATCATTTTCAGAATGGGCCACAACCAAGGGTGACCTGACCAACTGTTTTTTTTTTTTTTTTTAATTCATTGGGGAAGAGCAGACGATGACCAACGAGAACCTACCTTTTTATTCTGCGTCCCCCCAACCCAACCTGCCAAACCATTTCCCACAATCCCCCCCAACTCTACATGCAAATGATCTCATTATTATTATAAATAGGCTGCCATTATACAAACTGGGGACATGCAAATGGATAGGAGGGGGGATTCCTTATCGGTTCCTGCAGAGATCTCCCGGGGACCTCTGAGCTGGGGGCCACAGCTCTGCACTGGGAGATAGTATTGTCTCCACAATCGTGGGTGAAAGGTCACCGTGTGCATTAATGTCATCTACCCACCACAGCGCCCTGATCTCCGTCTTCTGCCCCAGAGGGTGTAGAGAATACCGGCGAGGGGCCGGGGGGAGAGTCCTACGGGGACGGTGCTGGCCGGGAAAGGGTTAACGTCGCAGTCTGTTTGGATTCTAATTGCCTGTAACACTCCCAGCCCATATCGCAGGCTGGACACCTTCTCCGGAGACATCAATCACCAGCAGCTGTCATCCAGGACCTTGTGCTGTCCTCCTCCCCGAAGACGGGAGAAGACAGGAGACTCTGCACTGTCTGACACTAGGGGGCGCTGCTGGCGCTGCACACCAACCTCTGCTAACAACCCCCACACCACTACAGCTACATCTGACCCCCAACACCGGGGGGCGCTACCACAGCTACACCCGACAACAACGCCGGGGGGGGGGGCACTACCACAGCTACACCTGACCCCAACACCGGGAGGCGCTACTACAGCTACACCCGACTCCAACACCGGGGGGCACTACCACAGCTACACCCGACCCCAACACCGGGAGGCGCTACCACAGCTACACCCGACTCCAACGCCGGGGGGCGCTACCACAGCTACACCCGACCCCAACGCCGGGGGACGCTACCACAGCTACACCCGACCCCAACACCAGGGGGCGCTACCACAGCTACACCCGACCCCAACACCGGGGGGCGCTACCACAGCTACACCCAACCCCAACGCCGGGGGGCGCTACCACAGCTACACCCAACCCCCAACGCCGGGGGGCGCTACCACAGCTACACCAGACCCCAACGCCGGGGGGCGCTACCATAGCTACACCAGACCCCAACGCCGGGGGGCGTTACCATAGCTACACCCGACCCCAACGCCGGGGGGGCACTACCACAGCTACACCCGACCCCAACGCCTGGGGGCACTACCACAGCTACACCAGACCCCAACGCGAGGGGCTCTACCACAGCTGCACTAGACCCCAACGCCGGGGGGCACTACCACAGCTACACCAGACCCCAACGCCGGGGGGCACTACCACAGCTACACCCGACCCCAACACCAGGGGCACTACCACAGCTAGATCTAATCCCAACACCAGGGGGCACTACCACAGCTAGATCTAATCCCAACACCAGGGGGCACTACCACAGCTACATCTAATCCCAACACCAGGGGGCACTACCACAGCTACATCTGACCCCAACACCGGGGCACACTACCACAGCTACATCTAATCCCAACATCAGGGGGCACTGCTGAAACTGCACACTGACCTCTTCCAAAAAAAACCCCACACCAGGGGGGCACTACCACCTTTAAATCCTACCCCCACACCAAGGGGGCACTACCACCGTTACATCCTACCCCCACACCAAGGGGGCACCATCACTAATACATCCTACCCCCACACCAGGGGGGCACTACCACCTTTAAATCCTACCCCCACATCAAGGGGGCACTACCACCACTACATCCTACCCCCACACCAAGGGGGCACCACCACCACTACATCCTACCCCCACACCAGAGGGGCACTACCACCACTACATCCTAAACCCACACCAAGGGGGCACCACCACCACATCCTACCCCCACGCCAGGGAGGCACCACCACCTTTATATCCTACCCCCACACCAGGGGGCCCCACCACCACTACATCCTACCCCCACACCAAGGGGGCACCACCACCACTACATCCTACCCCCACACCAGGGGGGCACCATCACCACTACATCCTACCCCCACACCAGGGGGGGCACTACCACCTTTAAATCCTACCCCCACACCAGGGGGGGCACTACCACCATTACAACTTACCCCCACACCAGGGGGGGGCACTACAGCTACATTCTACTCCAACACCAGGGGGCACTACCACTAGCTACATCTGACCCCAACACCAGGGGGCACTACCACAGCTACATCCCATCCCAACATCAAGGGGCGCTTCGGAAACTGCACATTGACATCTTCTAACAACCCCACACCAGGGGGCACTACCACAGCTACATCCTACCCCAACACAAGGGGGCACCACCACACCTACATCCTACCCCAACACCAGGGGGGCACTACCACCTTTACATCCTACCCCAAAACAAGAGGGCACCACCACAGCTACATCCAACCCCAACACCAAGGGGGACTGCAACACCTACAACCTGCCAGAACACCAGGGGGCATTATAAATCATGTCCATAAATAAGAGGGCACTGCCACAGCTATACGTACCCCAACACTATGCTTTTCTACTGGAACATCCCGTGTCCTTGTGACTGATGAAAACTCAAACTGGATACTAGATATTTTGCTCTGTGTATCACAAATACGTGTTTTTAAAAAACAAAATCCTAGCTTTGCTGTTTTTGCCTCCTTTGTCACATCTTTGCAGTTGATTTCCTGCAGCCTCTTTGCAGCCACTTCCAATATGCATCAGTGATGGTTGCATGGCATTTCTTAGGGCAGGTCTCCTGATGGTGACAACAGTGGACAATGCTTGCCTAACACGTGTTGAAATGGCCACCTGTGGTCTCTGTCGAAAGCCTGTGTGACAACGCAGGACCCAAGTAGGAGATGGAGACAGAGCGTTGTCACCCTATAACAGGAAATGCCTGAACAAGGACCTTCATGGCAGGATCATTCGGGATTATTTTCACAAAACTGCAGATTTACAAATATTGGAACATTGCGTGTTGAGCCCAAGATCAAGATGTAATCTGAAGTGACACAAATACTTCATCAGACTGGGTGTGCCTCTGCCTGTCCATCGCCGCACGTAAAACGAGGGATCAATCGCTAAAAGAATGGAGCACAAATGAGCCACCGAGAGGAACGCTCAGGTGACACCAGAACTGAACAATGACATAAAATCCAATACCCCGAGTCCTTCCCGAGGCGACGACCCGTCACTAATCCGTGGCACGCGCCCCGTGTGAGGGGAATCAGCCCGCCACAAAAGGGTTAAAAATCCATTAAATAAGCGTCAAACTGGAAGGCAGAGATAAGAGCAGAAATGGGAGATAAATGGAGGAGAAGGGAGGGAGGGCGGGCGCAGGGGAGAAAAGAAAATCCAGTGAAATAAATCAGGACGATAACAGTCGAGAGGCATTTATCGCAGATGTGACACAGACCAGCAAGAAAAAAGGAAGGGGGGGGGGGGTCGCAATTCCAGCCGCGTCTGACACCCTCTGAAGTGGGATCATCCTTCCCATCAGACCCGGATCCGCGTCTTCCGGGAAAACTGACATTTCTTTACACAAAGGAAGGAAAGTGCGGTAATATGGTGAGAAATGGGAAAGGAACGCTGGAACCCCAGAATCGGCCAATGGTTTCGCAGTGATGTTCCGATTTGTTTTTTCCCTACACCCCAAAGAATTTCCACAAGTTCCTCGGTTTGTCATAATTGTATGAATCGGGGAGTTAAGAGTCCAGATACAAGTTTATTCCAATGCAACTCCAACGCGCTTCGGGGGGGGCCTGAGATCTCCATCAGTGCTGGAGGAGTAAAGAATACAAGGTATATGGTATTCTTCCAGGAAAATGGACATTTCTTTAACCCCTCGCCTACAGGGCACTTATACCCCCTTCCTGCCCAGGCCAATTTCCAGCTTTCAGCGCTGTTGCACTTTGAATGACAATTGGGCAGTCATGCAACACTGTACCCATATAAAAGTTTTATCATTTTTTTGTGACAGATAGAGCTTTATTTTGGTGGTAATTAATCACCTCTGGGATTTTTATTTTTTCTTAAACAAACCAAAAACCACAGAAAATTTTGAAAAAAAAAGTTTTAGTTTTGGTTATAAAAATTTGTAAATAAGTGATTTTTCTTCTTCACTGATGTGCGCTAATGAGGCTGCACTGATGGGCACTGATAGGTGGCACTGATGGACACTGAGGAGGAGGCACTGGTAGGTGGCACTGATGGGCATTGACAGGCATCACTGATGGGCACTGAAAGGCAGCACTCATGGCACTGATAGGCATCACTGACTGGCACTGATAGGCGGCACTGAAGCACACTGATAGGCAGCAGTGACTGGCACTGATAGGCGGCACTGACTGGCATTGATAGGTAGCACTGACTGGTACTGATAGGTGGCACTGAAAGGAAGCTCAAATGGGCACTGATATGTGGCATTGATGTGGCACTGAAATGTGGCACTGATATGGCATGGATGAGCACTGAGAGCTGGCACTGATGGGACACTGACAGATGGCGCTGCTGGGGCTACACAGATCATCAGGGCACACTGATCATCAGTGCTCTGATGATCAGTGTAGATGTCCCCTCCGAGGAATGCTGATTACCAGCTCCCCTCTGTCAGCTCGTGAGGAGAGAAATGCCGATAACCGGCCGTTCCCTGTTTACATGTGATCAGCTGTGATTGAACACAGTTGATCACATGACCAAGCCAACATCTTCGGCCCGTACCGTAGATTGGTGATCCGCTGTGTCCGAGGGACAAAGCGCACCGCCGATCGCCGCGCTGCACGCTCCTGGAGCCGTGCATGCGCGGTGAGAATGGGGGGGGGGGGGGGACGTCATATGACGTCCTCCCAGAACGAGAGAACCACCTTGCGCCCGTCATTACTATATGGTGGGCAGGAGGCGGTTAAATACAGTATACACCTTGTATTCATTACTCAGTCAGGTTTGTATACATTGTTACCATCCTCAAGCACTGACGAAGGAGATCTCTGGCTCCTGAAACGCGTTGGCTCAAGTATAAAGCCTTACATTGAAATATACTTGTATCTGACCTCATGGCTCGGTGCTCCAAATCCCTGATACATACAATTATGACAAACCGAGGAAATAGTTTTTTCCCTACACCCCAAAGAATTTCCACAGTTTGTCATAATTGTATGTATCAGGGATTTGGAGCGCCGAGCCATGAGTCCAGATACAAGTATATTTCAATGTAAGGCTTTATACGTGAGCCAACGCGTTTCGGGAGCTAGAGATCTCCTTCATCAGTGCTTGAGGATGGCAACAATGTATACAAACCTGACTGAGTAAAGAATACAAGGTACATGTTTAAAGAAATGTCCATTTTCCCTTAAAAATACCATATACCTTGTATTCTTTACTCCTCAAGCACTGATGGAGATCCCCTGAAACGCGTTGGCGTTACATTGGAATAAACTTGTATCTGGACTCTTAACTCGCTGCTTGGCGCTCCAAATCCCCGATTCATACAATTATGACAAACCGAGGAACTTGTGGAAATTCTTTGGGGTGTAGGGAAAAAACAAAATCGGAACATCACTGCGAAACCATTGGTCGATTCTGGGGTTCCAGCATTCCTTTCCCATTTCTCACCATATTATTATTACCGCACTTTCCTTCCTTTGTGTAAAGAAATTTCAGTTTTCCCGGAAAAATACCAAAGGAAGGAAAGTGCGGTAATATGGTGAGAAATGGGAAAGGAATGCTGGAACCCCAGAATCAACCAATGGTTTCGCAGTGATGTTCCGATTTGTTTTTTCCCTACACCCCAAAGAATTTCCACAAGTTCCTCGGTTTGTCATAATTGTATGAATCGGGGATTTGGAGCGCCAAGCAGCGAGTTAAGAGTCCAGATACAAGTTTATTCCAATGTAAGGTCGAATCGAAGGCTTTATACATGAACCAACACGTTTCGGGGGCCAGAGATCTCCATCAGTGTTTGGGGATGGCAACAATGTCTACAAACCTGGCTGAGTAAAGAATACAAGGTATATGGTATTTTCAACAAATGAATATTAACCTCTTATCGCCCATGTAGGGTGGGTGGGCTTTAACACCCACACGCAGCACCTATGTGTCCATGGGCAGCGTGCTCACTGTGTGCTCCCAGCAATGAAAAACCACTCCCGGTCTCTAGTAATAATTGAGAGCCAGCAGGACCGGCTCCCGATCGCATTTTGGGGGCCAGAGATCACCCCCTTCATCAGGGCTTGGAGTATGGGCAACAATATATAGACCACTCCCAGTCTCTAGTAAAGATTAATAACCAGCAGGACCAGCTCCTGATCGCATTTCGGGGGTCAACACATTTTGGGGGCCAGAGATTGCCTCCATCAGGACTTTAGTATGGGCAACAATATATACAAAGCTGACCAAGTAAACAATACAATGCATATGGAATTTTCAACAGATGAATATTAACCTCTTACCGCCCATGTAGGGTGGGTGGGCTTTAACTCCCACATGCAGCATCTATGCGTCCGTGGGTGGCCGAGATTCCTGTGCTGAGAGCGTGCTCATTGTATGCTCCCACCCTGCACAGGGACAGAGGTATCAAAGACAGCTCCCTGTCTCTAGTAATGATTGACAGCCAGAAAAACTGGCTCCCGATCACGCAAGCCCTGTGACAGCCAATCACAGTGGTCAAGGTATTGGGCGGTCCTTCCCTACCCCAGTTAAAGGGATACCAGGGCTGGGTAGGAAGGGGGTTGAGGGGGTGTCCATCATTCTAAACCAGAGGCTGATGAACACCAGGGGCAATTGCATTGCTTGTGACCCTTTTCTGGTGGTATGGTCTCTTTAAAACATCCTGTGCCTAATCCACCAAAGCATTGTGATAGTTCTGATAACCGTTGCGCCACGTGCAGAAGATTCAGGTAGTTCTAAAGTGTGCCGCTATAGCTGCAGAAAATTCAGAAAGATGCAGATTAGGAAACTAGTGGCAATTAGGACCGGCTCTGAGTTGACGTAAAGAGGGACACCAACACTCAGAGTGGGGCACATCCAGGGGCGGACAGACAACTCATGGGGCCCCCAGGCAATAGGGGATCATGGGGCCTCCTACTGACCCCGGGCAGTGCCCAAGTTTGTATATGGTCAGTCCGCCCCTGGGCACATCATGTCATGAATGTGACTGCTTACCGTCCAGGGCTCGTGGGTTGCCAGGATGCTGGCGGCCGCTGGTGTCCTGGCATTCATTGACTCATCCCCAAGCCCCATTTAGCTGCCAGCCAGGAGATTCCCGGTCAATAACAGGACTCATCCCCAGCATCATTGAGATATTCCTGGTCAATGACAGGAATCTCCTAGCTAACAGCTGAATGGGGTCAGAGATGTGTCACTGGTTGCTAGGATGGTGTCGGCTGCACAGCTGACAGTATTTTAGCAACCAATTATTACACAGGATTTATAGCACCAACAGTTTGCTCAGCGCTTTACAATATAAAGGGAGACAAAAGAGCAAAGATACAGTTCGTTACAAGAGGGGTAAGCAATGATGCTGTGCAGCTGACGGCATCATAGCAACCAATGCTGCTGTGCAGCTGACTGCATCATAGCAACCAAGGACGCTGTGCACATGCACTGAGGGTGAAGTGTCCAGTGTGGACATACCAACTTCATTGCCACCCCCCAGCAGGCCTCCTTGTGAAAAATTATGTACCTGTTTGACGAGTTCATCTATTTGTTACAATCACTTACCCTTGTTGCGCCGGGTACAACACAATTCTAAAGAGGGTCTTTGAACTCTATGAATTCCAGGGATTGTTTTTTTATTTATATTTAATTCATTAAACGTACCAGACACACTGCATTTGTTATTCCAGTTTCTAGTCCTTAAGCCCTGAAGGAGGTGATATCTGGCCCTCGAAACGCGTTGGATTAGCTCTAAGGCTTCTTATTTGATCTTGCATTGGAGTAGACATGTACCTGAGATATGAACTCATAGTCTGACACTCCATCCTCAGATTCAGGCTATACAACTACAGCACAGATTGTCCCCAACTGTCCCCGATTTCCAGGGACTGTCCTGAGCTCTGCTCATTTGTCCCTGGAAATCCGTATTCCTAATTTTCCTGTTTTTTTTTTTTGCTTAGATGAATGAATCGCACAACAAATTGTTACAAAATGTTACAAAACTGTTTCAATTTGTCTTTATTCCTGTAAATTTACCAGAATAACGTGGCAGAGAAAACTGTTTGTATGGGAGTGGCTTGGCCCAATACCTGCGTGATGAGCCTCTGACCAAAGCTGCCATTCTCCTTCATCCAGGCTTCACTGCCCTGGAACTGGATCAGCAGCTTCCATCTGAGGCTTCTCCACAGATCCCCTTTCATTGAATATTTCTTAAAAAAAAAAAAAAAAGGATTATTTAAATTTTAAATTAAAAAAAATATAATCCAGTTTAGTAAATCTGCCGTGATGGGATTGTATTGCTGACACGGTATTTTAATTAGCTTACAAATGGCAACAAAGTATCAAAACAAATGAGTTCTGATATAGAGGCAACTATGCATGTGGGGACCTTCTACTGTCCATACACAGCCAGATCTCTGTAGATGTCAGTGTAGGATGAGAGCAGCCTATCCCGGGGCGGGGTACCACCCTGGTGCAGCATCCCTTATGCTCTAATTTTTTTTACATTTGAAATTTTGGGGTTGTCCAACAGAATGGTCACACAAAAGAAGGCTGCACAATGAAAAATATCACACAATGATTGAGCTGCACAACGAAAGGGTCTCATAGAAAAAGGGCTGCTCAATGAAAAAAAAAAAAAAAAAAGGTCGCACAATAAGAGCGCTGCACAGTGAAAGGGTCGCACAATAAAAGTCACATAACAGGGGTGCACATTGAAAGGGCTGCACAGTAAAAGGTCGCACAATGAAAGTCGCATGATAATAGGGGTGCACAATGAAACAGCTGCAAAATGAAAGTGTCGTTCAATGATAGAGTCGCACAATTACAGGGGTGCACAATGAAAGTGTTGTTCAATGATAGGGTCGCACAATTATAGGGGTGCACAATGTCTCATATAAAAAGACTCATAAAAAGGACTACACAATGAAAGGGTTACACAATGAGAGTGTTGCACAGTCGTAGGGCTGCACAGTGAAAGTGTACAATGACAGGGGTGCACAATGAAAGTGCCGTTCAATGATAGGGTCACACAATTATAGGGGTGCACAGTGAAAGTGCAGTTCAATTACAGGGTCGCACATTTATAGGGGTGCACAATGAAAGTGTTGTTCAATGATAGGGTCGCACAATGAAAGTGTTGTTCAATTATATGTCGAACAATTATAGGGGTGCACAGTGAAAGTGTCATTCAATGATAGGGTCACAAAATTATAGGGGTGCACAATGAATGGGTCTCTCATTAAAAGGACTACACAATGAAAGAGTTACACAATGAGAGGGTTGCATAGTCGTAGGGCTGCACAGTGAAAGTGTATAATGACAGGGGTGCACATTGATAGGGGTGCACAATGAAAAGGTCGTTCAATGATAGGATTGCATAATGAATGGATTTAATAAAAGAGCTGCACAGTGAAAGGGTCGCAGTATTGATAGGGCTGCTCAATGAAAGTATCGTTCAATGAAAGTGTTGTACAATGAAGGAGTCATACAATGAAAGGACTGCACAGGAAAAGGGTCGCAGAGTCCCACAATCAGAGGGTCAC